TTCTACCTAAGCATGAGATAGAACAGCTTATTCAAATAGATATCCGCAGATTTACATCTTTTAAAATTAGTCTTAGCAGACTACTACTTAGTTTGCACAATTACAAATTCTGTTGTGTCATGTGTGTGATAACTTTTACGTTATTGGTTAAACATGGATCATTTTCTTTGTGAGTGACATGATAATGGGATGAGCCGAAATTTATTAATTAGTTCGACGTTTGATACTAAATTCTTCTTATTCCATCCGCAGTCTTTATGAACAGTCAAATGTACGCTGTTGAAAAAAAACTAAACACGAATACACGTACTAATAAAACATTGCATTAAGATAACGAACACTGCATTTTTTGTGCACATCGATTTACAAAAGCGTCTACAAATCACCGTTAACCTAAATGACATTAGTGTGACCATACTTCATCGTATGCATTGAATTTTCATATGATTTCTTCTGTGTACTGTTTAAACATGTGCCAGTTCGAATGACATTCTCACTCTCTGAACAGTTGATACAGATTAGGCTGTGAAACATCATATATCGAATTCTTTGCACGTTGAGATATTACAAATAGTGATATAGATGTTTTATGGTATTCGTCACAAAATGATCACATTTTTCAACAGTACTCTGACAGATATTAGACAGTGAAAAATTTCGCCCGGAAATCAAACCGGTTTATGCATTACTCCCCTATCATCAGTGACTTGCTATGAGTTGAGCATTTCTCATGGAAAGTTACGACTTCCACAGTTTAGTTATGTCAAAAGAAAACCAGTAGTAACCAATGTCATTGGATGGCAATTGCAGTATATTATAAGTTCATTGAAGTTGGAAACATATATTGGTAACCAACTCTGTAGCTCAGTGACGTAAGGCCAACTTCGAGCTATGTAGCATCTTGTATTCTCTCACTGAATTGTACTCTGCAGAGGTGACGAAACAATAATTTGATGCTTCTTATCCCTCAAGGGCATTACAACTGAGGTGAATCTGCGACGAATACAACGTAGTTATAAACAATTTATTATCTTGACAATTCACTGAATAAAAATCTTAATAAACTATTTATAACGATAAATCACCTAAATAAAAATTATAGATACATCATATTATAGAAAAACCTTTCATCCCTGGTTAATTACATAATAAAGCTTATGTTTATGTTTATGTTTATATACTATACTTCTGAAGCTATATTTCTTATACAGCTTAAAACGCAAAATAAATATCCATTATTATCATTAGTAGTAGTAGTAGTTGTTGTTGTTGTTGTAATAGTAGTAGTATTGGTATCAACAGATTATTTTATTGATTGTTTACATTAATTACATTAACTGTTGAATATTACAACAGATTCAGTATTCATTTTTATGACATTTAACCATTATGTAAAGTTATCCATCTAATAAAAAACATTTGCATTTATTCCATTTGTAATAATTGGAAACGTTAAAATTTCTAACATGATTGACCATATATAGTTCAAAAAATTGCCTATCATTTATGAGAGATTGTCAGCATGATTGTTATAATCTTACAAAATTATTAAACATTCCCATCAGAAGGGGTTCTTGTGGAGATTGTAGTAATTTTAATAGTTTAGATCATGAGTCAATGGTAGCTAGAACATCATGGAAAACCTGAAAGCACTGAACGGCCATTTCGTCCTAGTATGGGACTATCAGCTGTACACATCCACGATCTTGCTCGTGAGATTCGAATGCAGAACCTATCAGTCTCGCGCGCGAGTGCTTAACCACTAGACCATTGAGCCGGCATCGAACGGTGGATTCGTCCCTCAATTTTGTGGGATAATTTAAATATATTTTTCATATTACAAAGTATTTCTATCATCATCACGGAGAAAAGTGACAATCATTTACTAATCAATGACTATATAATTGGCGGCCTGTTTGAATATTTGAGCAATATGTTAATGCCATCTGAATATTTCAACAAGTTATCTGTCTCCTTTGTTTTAATACATTACTATGCCTATTAGTCTCATAAACTATTCACGTGAGTTTGTGAAGAGTTTACGACGTTTCCTTGTACAAGTTACAAAAGAGCCCAGTCGGAGACATAGTGGTTACTAACAATATGCATCGAAAAGAATATACATTATTCAGACGTTAATTCCTGAACTGCTAACATCCAACTGACGACCACTCAATATCTATCGTCAGGATCGATCAAGAAATAAGAAAACTGGAAACTTGTTGAAATACTTTATACTGAGATTTCTATATTGTACCAAAAATATATTACTGAATAGAGCTAATAATAATAAATAAATAAATTTTATTGATGTCCATCAATGACTGAAAATAAAAGTCTTATTTATTTGTGGAAAATGAATCAAAGGTTATACCAATACAAGATAAGTCATTGACAGAATATTTTTATTTAAGAGTAAGAATAAAACTGGACGTTAGTACACTGATGATAGTATTTGATATGATTGACGTAGTAGCATAGTTTTTTTTTGGATTTATATGATGTTTTCTTCCAGTATTATTCATCATTATTGCAGTATTCATATGACCCGAAACAGATAATATAATAATATTTGAATTCTCGTTCACTTTGATAAGGTCAACTATGCTTATGTTTTATTAGGATAAATTTCAACGTTAGTAACTCATGTTTACAAAGGTATTTTATTTAATTTTGTAATTAATCAATATTTTTTCCTGATATTTGTAAAATTATCCATCTATCCGTGGCATTATATTACAGTATTGAATCATGTAGTTCAATGGATAATGACTAATGAACTAAATAAACGATGCCTTTATTACAACTAAAGTAATTCATTTTCATCAACAAAAACATTGTTTCACTTGGTATTGTTTGGCTTGTATCTTCCCATTGAGGTTTAAGACTGCAATTAATCAGTCTGTTATTGGCATATATGCATACTGTGCGCACGCCTCGATATTATCTTAATTCACAAGCTTTTTGTAAGCAATGATGGATATTGGCTAGCAGTACTGAGTTCGAGTCCCAAAGTGAACATCAACTCTGAGATGCAGGTACATCCAGCTGAAGAGTCCCAAATAGGACGAAACGCGCGTCCTGGATTCCACTGCTAGCTACTACCCATCATTGCTTACAAAAACATTGTTTCCTTATTTACTTTTATCAGATAATATTGATTCTTTTTATTTTTTTTGGTTTTTTTTTAATTATCTAAAATAGTTACACACTGATAAAAGTTTATCATCAACTACGATTCAAACGACAGTTGATTATGGTTTTATCTTTTGGTTAGCCAGAATTTAATTAGTTTTAATACATAAATTTATCTACATAGAAAAGTGTATTTAATTAATCATGACTCATTTCCAATTGTTTATTCATTTATTTACCCATTTACGATGAATCACATCATAAAATTTATCACTATACTGATAAATAATCTGCTTTTTTGACACAGAAAAGAAAATAGATATGTAAATGTAAGCTATAGCAAAATGAATACAGTTTCATTATTAACTAGAAGTTGTATACATTAATAATCAATCTCCTATTACATTTTTAAGTATCAGTAACTCCTTAAAATACTAATAAGAGCTGTTTTGACGAAATATTCAGAACATTTTGTTTCATAATCTGTTTGTCTAATATTCATTTGATGAAGAAGAATGCTGAAAAAATTGTGGAAACATTCGGTATTTAGACAATCCATATAGTTTGAAAAACATAATAGAGGTTAAGCGTTTGCGCATGAAACCGATATGTCCTGGGTTCGAATCGTGCGAGGAGGGATCGTGGGTGAGCTTTGATGAGAAGTCTCACAATAGAACAAAACGGTCATCCAGTGCTCAACTATTGAAATCAATACATTGTCTACAAAGACCCCTTCTGATAATAAAAATTACTGTTCTTATGATTACTGAATTATTCAGGATTTATTCTAATGCCCTTCAATTCCTCTGATGACCACATAATATAGACAATTCTAAGAATATATATATATCCAACCTTTGCTAGTGTTTTAAAGTGTTTACTGGATTACATCGAAATATCAAATTTGTTTGTTGTTTAAAACATTATTGAAAGCCCCTACATAATGTCAATTAAATCACCCTGTAAATCTATCGTACAGGCGTACGCAAATACACATTTTCTAAAACAACTTACAAAACTTTTATGATCTTAATTATCCCAAATTATGATAAACAATAAAAATTGCAATTGTCATTTAAAAAGTTTAATGAATACGTTTTGTAAAATGAATTTACTTAAAGAGTGGTTATGAATGTTTTATAGGAAGAATGTAAACATTGAGTGACTACTTGTTTGAACCACATTATATGTAATGGCATTTAAATATTTAAACAGAAATACCCGGCCAAGAATCAAATCGATCAGTGTAACAAATAAATAAAATATTTGTCATATTTCGTTGAGTAGAAAATTCGGATTTTCTGACGTTTCGTGACTTAATGTAAGCCACTTCTTCAAAAAATAAACTTAGATTACTTTTGATTTGGTTATTTATTTATTCTCCGAAGAACTGGCTCTCACTAAGTCATGAAACGTCAGAAAATCTAATTTTTCTATTCATTGGGATATTACAAATATACTATTTATTTATAACAATCTATCCAATGCTCAATTTATTCGAAATTATCAAGTCAAATCTTTGTAATTATACCTACGATTAGTGTAACGTTTACAACAATCATATTCAGGTGACTTGTTATTTATTCATTTCTTAAACAATAAATGTATAACATTCACATTTTTTAAATGATCACTATTATCTATCTACGAGCTTCAGAGGTAGATACATTTATGTAATCCAAAATAATAAAAAAAACGCCCATGGTTTAAATGAGAATATAAAATCACCGGCAATTTTTTTATCAATTGAACATCAGTTCGAAATATGTAGAATTTTCAATTTTCAATAATTGTGCAGCATAAAATAACATTTTAAAATAATTCTAAGCATTCAGAATATAAAATCATTTAAATTGTAAACCTACTTTAACACCCCAAGCATCTGTTGTCGCATCTAAACTGGACTGCATAGCTGTAGATATTTCTTCTCTGTCCATAAGAATTTGTGCCAAATCTTTAGTTCCTAAAACATTTCTTATAGTTGTCTGTGCTAATAGTCTGGTAGAGCGTGCAGCATCTTCAATATTTAACACAGATGCAACTGGATTTAATACACGATAATATACAACTGCATCCACTGAAACAGTTACTGAATCACGTGTTAATAATTCTTGTGGTGGGATCGCAAATGTCACTGTACGTAAATCCACTTTTCGTACACTATCAATACATGGTAAAATAAAAAATAATCCCGGCCCTTTTGTACCTTTACCTTTTGGTATTAAATTACCCATTCTTAAAACAACAGCTCGTTCATATTCAGCAACAATACGTATACAATAGACAAGTGAAAATGGAAACGTGATCAAAATCAAAAATATACTTAACGCTGCTAAAAAAGTTGTTGTCCAACGCATACTTTTCCCTACAACTTCAGAATCATTTGGTGTATCATTAGTTTCTTGTGGAAGTTTAGTTTGTTTTACGTTTTTCATATCATCAGATGTCATCATTATATCGACTTCATTTTCATAAAGTGAATTTAAATGATTACCATTGTGAATACGATTAGATAAGGATTTAGATTGTTTCTTCATTACACCTTCTTGAGCTTTATGTGACGTGTTTAAACGTATTTTACGTGTTATAAATTCAAAACAATGACATTTATTATATTTGAATAAACTATAGGATTGTTTTTTATGCCATAAATTTTCGTTTAATTGTGGAACATGTAAAGTTAAGACATCATCATAATTCAAATTGTGTTCATTTGATGTTTGAGATAATTCTTGATTATATGATTCAGATGTTACGGTTTTGTCAGACGTTTTACAAGTATATGGACTTAAATTTGATTCAATATCTTGCTGTTGTGATCGTGGTTCAACACCTTGATTGAAATCAAGATTTGATGTCTCTTTATACAATGATGTAGAATAAGAGGTATTCCCTGTTGAAGACATAAATCACAAAAAGATCAGTACTCTGTCTACTATATCCATACTGTATTAAAATATGTGAAGAATTTTATTGGTATAAAATAATATCTAGTGTTTTGGTGAATTCGTTGTTAAGCTATACATCATCAACCAATCTATTCAATGTAATTCATCAAAGTTAGTTTCGAATATATGACAATAGCATTTTTGCATCTTTTTAAAATTATCATCATGAATCAAACACTAAAAAGCCAATAAATTATATCAAAAAGTATATTTATTCGGAGTTATACAACTACATACAATCATTAAATTTAAACACAAACACATACATAAGTTATAGAAGGAAAAACCACTTTTTTCCCTACGATTAATTTCCTCATTATAGACATATTTCTGTCAGTCTCTCTTTCTTAATTCTAATTGGTTAGTTTCATCATGATCAACGAAGTAATCATTGATGTTATGATAATCTGCATTAAAATAAAAATGTCTATGCTGATGAGGGTACCGGAAGACTTACAATCTAGGAACTGATAACGATAGAAAATCGATATGTTAATTTTTTGAAATTTATGTTTCAATGTTCAAATAGTGTGGAAAAGGAGAATTATCCAAGAAATGTGAGAAGTACAAAAATGAACAAGTTCATCTATAATCAGAATAAATGAGTTGCAAGAATATAATTAATGAACAGATTAGAAAACATTCTTTATCAAACTATTATTTGTTTGTGTGTACATTAGATATGATGAAAATATTTACATAAAGTTATGTTAGCGTTTTAGCGTCTTTTTTAGCAAGTTAGTTTTCTACGGGATGGGGTCGCTAACCCCATGCCTAACCCTCCTCCTTTATCCGGGCTTGGGACCGGCAGTAGCCCCCGGAGGGACTCCAGGCGGAGTTATTTTTCATACTTTATAAGAAAATGGTTGAATGTATCATCGGAATTTTTTCAGGTGTCATTTTGCATGTTCCTGTTTAAAATGTTTTGTAATTATTATTAATATTAATAGATTTCTAGGTAAACAAAAAGTAAGAATGGTTTGCAAGTTAAAAAACATTTACAAAGAATGAAATGATGAGTGAAACAGTCATAATAACAATACTAGAATTAATGTCCTTTTGCTAATAATCACAATGAAATTGAACTGCTGTTAAATAGTATTTACAAGAGCTCAAACTGTAATTATAAAACTTTATTCAATATACTGTTAAGTAGATTTATACAAGCTATATAGTTAGTCATTCAACAAATAGTTAAGGAATATATTGGGAATGATTTAATTTCAGCTATTGTAAGTCATTAGCTAGCTCTATTATTCTATCCCATTATTGCGCTGATAGGACAATACACATAGTGTAATCAACAGGGCACGGTTGGGTACAATCGAACTATATTTAGCACAAAATTTCAGAGTTACTTAGTAAAATAGAAAAACCATACTATAATACTTAATTTGCAAAATGTTAAATAATTGTCTCGAAATTCGTTGTTCTTGCATTTCCATACTAATTGCTTTCTACTCCCTCTCTTCCTTTCTTGATCTTCCCAATCTTGTGCTGCCACACATTACATTCCTGACTCGCGTCATACACTACTTATATCAATATAAGTAGCACGCACCACACTCGTCCCTTATAATAAGGCAGTCGTTCTTGCGGTGGTTCATGCTCACACCACAATAGGATTGCATACGATCTCAGAAAGATTCAATGTGGAACACCATGTACATATTCTATGTTAAGGTAGATAATGTTATGTAAAAGGGTTTATTTTCAAGAATTCATTACGTTATGATTTATCAGGACATTACTATTAACAAATACAATAGTGTATTCACAGCTCTTAAATATTTTAAATTTAATGAAAAGAGAAATAATGTAAAAGTGAGGGTGAATTATCATTTTTTTGACCTGTTTATTTGACACTAGAATCCATAATCAATTATACTAAATATCCACTACCTGGTTCAAATTTATGTCGCCATAAACTTATTGATAGAATAATAGGTTACTATAAGCACTAACAGAAGATCAAATCGTTTTAGCTATTGAAATATTGTGTTTAGTTTCAAATATCTCTTATTTATTATAACTTGATTGAAAGAGAAACGCACAATGTTAAATTTTTCACTATCGATAAAAGTAGTTTGTTCCATCGTTTTTCTTTTCAGTAACATAAAATGAAATTCAAAAGTTTATAAGAAGCAATTCATCGTTTAGGTAAACGTTTCAACTATGATTAAATAACTGTCTTTTGCTTCACAATCCAAGTAGTTCAATCAAGAAAAGATTTAAAATGTAATGTTCCTAACAATGTTATATATATATATATATATATATATATATATATATATATATATATATATGACACTGTTTTCTTATAAATAGAGCCACCATTTTTGTTTCTTAATTTATTCCGTTTTAACCGATTTTCTGTCATATGTATCGTACTACTTCCTCTTATATTCATTCTTAAATTTTTCAGCGTATGGTTTTATGTTGTTTTATAAACGTTTGATAGGGTCTTACATAGTAACACTTCTAAAAAAACAAACTTATCAACAGTTATCTATTTGATTATTCATTATATTGAAATTAACCAAACATTAGCATTTGTTCATCTCTAGAATGTAATTATTATTATATATATAGATTATTAAATAGCTAATGCTTGTCAGAATATATGTACAGAAGTATTCAAGTAACATTATAAACATTTTGGTGACCTATCGGTTACGTCCATTGAATGTAAAATTATTTTTTTCTTTAATTTACTTAATGTTAGGTTAGTACTCTAAACAGTTAAGTGTGAATTCAGACTTGAAAACATTCAATACATGAAGTTAAAATCAATTACTTTCATAATGAAACATTAAGCAATTAAAACTTAGACATTTATTACTGTATATCTTTATAAAATTACCGATATTATTGCTCTTTAAGTATATCTGTGATAATAATGAACTTTGCGCTCAACTGAATAGTCATATATTCTTTCACAGATTATAACTACAAATGTCTTGTTTTAAAATTATTATTTTCATACTGTATTCACACCAGTTTTAATAAGAAATCCGTTATTAAAAAATAACAGTTCGTTACTTCTTCAAATTCTATAAATAATCCCATTGAGAAGATAATATTGAACAAATGACTTTATATTAGTTGCGTGATTGTATAAATAAATAAATAAATGTAAACACGGTAAAAAATTTCACATGTATGATTTAATAAACATAAGTATTACAGAAAGATACAAAATAAAACAGTTTATAAGAAAAAGATGGATAGTGACTAGCAGTGGAATCAAGGACGCACATTTCGTCAGTAGCTAAGTGGATACAGCGATAGAGTTTGAAACAAACCGTATTAGGTCCGAGTCCCAATGTGAACATCAACGCTGAGATGCAGGTACATTCATCTGACGATTGTCAAATAGGATGGAACGTGCGTCCTTGATTGCACTGCTAGCCACTATCCATCTTTGCCTATAAAGCTTAGGACTTCAGGCAATATCGAGGCAGTCGGCACAGGATGGATATATGTCAACAAATGACTGATCAGTTGCAGTCCTAAATAACAATGGGAAGATACAAGTAGACAAAAGCAAGTCAATAAAACGGTTTATGTTTATTTGTTATTTATTTATTTATTTATTTGAACACATAGATATCAGTACAAGGCGGCACCAGATACATATGCGCCACACATGTCATTTAATTTGTGTAAGGGCTGTGATACTGCTCGGGTGCCCAAACCGAAGTAGATGGTTTTCTTAGGGAACCACACCCGGAGCCTTTGATCTAAAGGTCTGATCCATAAGGCACTGGAACATCGTAAGGGGATGCAGTCTCATGGTAGCCGATGACCAACGAATGTTTCATACGCCATTTGTTCCTTCAAGATACTGGAGCCTATGTGCACCATTGGTTTAAAAATCAGGGTTTTCCAACTGCCAGAGGTGGACTCTCCATGTCCACCAAACTGGTTAAAGCGACGGACATTTGTTTTCCGTCCTTTCAATTTCGTAAACAACACCCCCACTACGAGAAGGCAGCGAGTAGGACTTCCCTAGCAGAGGCTACATACGCGTGGCCATGTGAGAACATTTCGAGGGGGAGAGCGAACTCTCTTCAATCTCGGCCGTACCAGGGCATTTGGGGGGTTCTAAATATAAGTTTACTTGTTATTAATATAGTTATTATTGACTTACAAAATAAAATAATAATAATAAAAGAAGTCATCAAAAGTTATCAACTATCTCAACTACAAAGTTTAAATTAGTTTTCTATATAAAAATTCAGTTACTTTATTCCTTTTTCAAATTTATACATTTTTTTATTTTCATGACAACAAAAAGAAAAACAACCCTAATATATTTTGATTAGATTTTTCACAATAACTCAAAAAGCAAAAAACTTTGGTTAGTGACAAAAAGAAAATTTATTTTCGTAAGAAATGAGAGTATGTAATAAAATAATGTGAATTCTAATTGAAATAAATTACTTATTTGATTTTAATTTATCAAAGTGCATCACTACACTTTTGAATGAATTTGATTTATCATTATGGGGTTGTGAAAATTATTAAGTTTTGTGATTGAGATTGTGAACTGATTGATATTGGACAACAATTGAAACAGATAATCCGTGTCGGGTAGTGACAAGTATCTACTTCAGTACAATGAAAGATGGTCGCTCAATCTCGTGGTTGAGGTTAGACATTTATACCTTTGAATGCCGGCTCAGTGGTATGCCATGGGTTCGAACCCTGTGAGCGGTGTCGTGGATGCGCACTACTGAAGAGTCCCACAATAGGACGAAACGGCCTTTCAGTGCTTCTAAGTTTTCAATGGTGATCTTACATCAATCGATTCATGATCTCAATCAATAATTTGATTTATTCATAAGTGTGAGTTATAAAACAAATACAAGTATATTTCTAACTTATAAGGAAACGACATTATTTCAGCAACAAATATCGAGTACGTTGAAAATCATCGAAAAATTAGTTACGATTAGTTAAATCTTTTTTTCTCCACTAAATTAAATATTTACGGTAAATATATATTTACATGTCAGTCGAGACGATATGTCCATTTAGAAGGGGGATTAACAATTTCATTACAATCATACATAAATTCACAGTTGGTTAACATGATTTTGATATAATGCACAAATACTTCGATGGTTTTAATATCTAGCATTTGACGGTGAAAGAACATCATATTTCACAGAAACTCTTTCTTTCGTATTTCGAAATGAAATATATTAATAAAATTGTTTAAT